AAAAAGAAAACAGAAAAAGAAGAGCAACTAAACTCAGAGCAAGCAAAAGAAGCCAGGCATGGTGGTTCGTGCCTGTAGTGCCAGCTACTTGGGAGGCTGAGGCAGGAGGATTGCTTCAGCCCAGGAGTTTGAGGTGCTGCAGTAAGTGAGCTATGATTGTGCCACTGCACTCCAGCCTAGGCACAGAGTGAGACCCTGTCTCTTAAAAAAAAAAAAAAAAAAAAAAAAAAAAAAAGGCAAGCGTAAGGAAGGAAATAATAAAGACCAGAGTGGAAATAAATTAAGTGGAGCATAGAGAAAAATCAATGAAACCAAAAGTTGCTTCTTTAAGATGATCAACAAAATTGACAACCTTTGGCTAGACTGAGCAAGAAAAAAAAAAAGACTCCAATTACTAAAATCAGGAATGGAAAAAGGGACATCATTACACACCTTACAGAAATAAAAAGGATTATAAGGGAATGCTATGAACAATTATATGCCAACAAATTAGATAAATTAGACTAAACGGACAAATACCTAGAAAGATACAAATTTCTAAAACTAACCTTAAGAAGTAGAATATCTGAATAGATCTATAAGCAAAGACTTTCAATTAGTAATCCGATTGGAAAAGAAGAAGTAAAAATATCCCAGTTATACATGAGATGATTTTATACATAGAAAATCCAAAGGAATCCACTAAAAAGCTATTAGAGCTAAGAAACAAGTTCAGGAAGGTTATTATTCAGCAGGATACAAGAACAACATACAAAAATTAATTCCATTTCTATACACTAGCAGTAATCCAAAAACAAAATGTAAAATAATTTCTTTTATAATAGCAATAAAAATAACAATACTTGGGTATAAATTTACCAAGAAGCATAAAATTTATACCCTGAACACTACAAAACACTGTTGAAAGAAATTAAAGCCTAAAACAAACAAAACAAAAAACCCTCATGTTCATGGACTGAAAGACTTAATATTGTTAAAATGACACTATTCCCTAAATTGATCTACAGAATTAATACAATCCCTATCAAAATCCCAGCTGCTTTTTTTGTAGAAATTGACAAGCTGATCCTAAAATTCACAGGAAAATGCAACAGACTCAAAATGGCCAAAACAATCCTGAAATAGAAGAATAGAGTTGGAGGACTCATACTTCTCAATTTCAAAACCTGCTATACAAAAGTAATCAAGATACTGTAGTACTGGCAAAAGA